AAACATCTGATTCAAATGATGTCTCTACAGCTTAAAGAAGTTAGCCTTGTTATGCTAACAATTGGCTAACACTGTTGTTTATGCTGATTAGGTACTAGCTAGCTAGCATTTTGATTGACCATGAATTAATCTAAAGTACTGACTTTTTCTGTCTCGTGGTTGGTCTAAAGGTCTGTTTGGAAAGATGTAAACATTTCAGATGGTTATTTTTGTGTAAAAGCAGCTTCCACATAGACATTACAACAGCTTTGTACTGAACATTGGACAGCCATAGCAAGAAAAGCATAACCCTAAAAAAACAAAACTACAATAAAACCAAAATGCACTGTAAAAGGCCAAGGCACAAATAATTGTTAGCAATTAAGATGTCTATAAAATGACCTGTAGATTATGTACACTTAGAATGTGTGTACCATTGCTTGGTATGCAGTTACAGTGAGAACAACAATACAGAAAAATCACAGCAAGCACTATTGCATTCTGGACTACACGGCTGCCATAAAGTGCTCCTTTTCATTAAAAATCTATAAACATACAGACAAGAGTTGAAGAAGTTTACACACACATGGAGTTACACATGTAAGAGGAAAGACAGGTGATACAAATGTTGTTTTTATGGACGTACATGCTTCATGAAGGACAGGATATTGTGTTGGACAGACAGAGAGGATCAAGACAAGAACGGCAGCGACATTGTAATCCTTGTGAAAAAGTGAAGTGTATTTTGTACGTTATTTTACGTTATATAACAACTGGTTTGTTTTCAGGCTTTTTGTGTTTCTCCATTCAGAAGAAAATGTCCGACTGCTACAAAAACTGCAATTTTAAACCAGTGTTTCCTCTGTAAAGTTACCTAAATATTGTCTTTTTGTTTAGCTTATCCTTAAAAATCAAAAAGCACTGGTATCAAGTGAAAAGGTAGATTTCCTGATATTATTGTCGCGTCCTAGAAAGACTGTATGCAGCTTGGGTGTCAAACAACATCAGGGAAACAAAGAGAACAGTGGGGATTAGAGGCTCATTGGGTGCTATAACTGGAGAAAGATGTCTTTAAATAAGTGTTTGAGGAAAGATTATTGTCAAAACTCAATTTGACCAAATTCATTGAAGTTATTACCGGATAGTTAAACAACACTTACAAGCTGCAAAAAGAAGAGATGAAACACCACTGGGATATTGTTTGTCAATTCTAAACATTATCCTAAATAAATATACTTTCTCCATTTACTGTAGCACCGTTTATGTTCCAAAGAAAGCCCCAAAATTGAATATTATTACAAATGGGAAACCAAAGTGGTGCGAGGATGCTTATAGTGGATTCTGAGTTTTGGAAAATATAAACGTGTTTTTAAAACTGGCAGAGCAAAGACATTTAAAGGTGAAACTGCAAAATGCTAATTGTTAAATTAACAATTAAAGGGTTCTTTCCAATAAACAACATGATAATAATAATACATTTTATTTTAGGCGCCTTTCATGACACCCAAGGACACCGTACGATTTGTTAAAAAAAAAGGTAATAGGCAACAGAACATGATAAAAACACAAACAGGAAATCATGGAGGAGACAGTCAAGTGGACACAAATGAAACATATAATGGGGAGCACTACAGTGAGTAGGCAGATTTGAACAGACAGGTTTTTAATTGGGATTTGAATATGGTGATTGTGTCTGACTGTCGGATGTGCGGGGGGAGGGAGTTCCAGAGTCTGGGAGCAGTGCCCAAGCACCCATGGTGACGAGGCGTGGGGTGGGGACGGTTAGCAGACCATGCAGAGGAGGAGCGGAGGGAAGATGTATTGTTCTGCTTACTGAGAGGACATTTTAAAGGTTTAATAAACATGAACGCATCTTTGAATTTCTGTAGCAACTGTTTAATATATATAGTGTACGTATTTATGACTCACATTGGTGGTAAATGACAAACTAAAGTCATCAATGCTGGTTGGGGCAGTTTTCACATGGACATTTTCCATTGGAGACGTTTGAGTTGTGTTCAGTGAGTCTTGTTCTGATGTATCGGTACAGTAATTACAGGGACGTGATGGTAAAAGATTACATCCTCCAGTGACCTCATTGACTAATTAAAACCTCTCCAACAGATCAGGGAAACAGAGTATTGATCCAAGAGGCAAATAAGGGGAATAAATTAGCGTGTCATGGATCAGAGCACCTGCTTACAATGCAGTGATAATGGATATTGACTTAAACTTCTAACAATGTGATCACATGATTCTGATATTACTGCAGATCTGCTGTAAGCTACGTAGCTAACCTAATTATTTCAAATGTGGAAGTGTTAAAGGTCGTTGTAGCGCATTTGCCCTCGTCAGCCACCGTACTAAACTCGCCAAAAGAACATTCTTACGTTATGAATATAATTATTAAGGCATGTGATCTCATGGTGATCTAATTTAACTTTCATAAAACGTGTTTGGATTGAGGCGAAGGTTGCTCTATTGTGCTTAAATATGGGATTTAAAGTTGAATTTTTTTCCAGTTTATCTTTTGCCTGTAGTATAGTGGAGCGTTTTGACATAGAGAGGTCACTGGAGAATGATTGCAAAACAAAATGTGTTCAAAATAGTACAAAACCTTTATAATAGAATAAATTAAGCATAATGTTGGGGATATTTGCCCACAATTAAATTGGAATAATTCTGTACACTGTAAAAAGTGATGCTAGCACTCCATTTGAAATACTTACAGTAAAGGTTGGTGCACACTGGAATTTTTTTTTTATTTATTCTTTTTTTAAATATTGTTATACTCAAATGTTGGATAATTGTCTATGTTCAAATTGAGTTTCAATTTTGTGGATAGAAAATGGGACAAAGTTTTGGTTGAAACATGTAACCAAACCAATGATTAAGATTTTTAACAAGAAAATAAAAATCCATAACAAATATTAAACAATAAGTATTTACAGAAACTAATATTTTAGGATTTAGTGATAAAACATAAATTGTTAAAATGGAGACCCAATTTTTTTTGAATTCCTGAGAAGATTGACTTCCAGTTTATGCAAGTAGTAAATTATAATCTGAAAATATTTGTATTTAATTAACTGTATTTTGCTAGCATCAGTTTTTCCCAGTGTCTCTTCGTGTCTTGGAAGACAATTTATTCAGTTTTTAACAATTTCACAAAATATTAGATTATTAAATTTAACAGTATTTGCCGTGTAAATACAAATAAACCAGTGCTGTTATTTCCAGGGATGTTCTCTAACTGAAACAGGGCTACACATTTAGAAAGAAAGCAGTAAAAGAAATGAAAGAAATGCAACCGTTTTCTGTAGATGGGACTTGGTGTGCAAGGCAACAAAAACACTGGTGTTTAAATCATCTTCCTGACATTAAACTTCAACAAAACCATCAAAATAAATAAAGACACGAGAAGAGAAACATTACACAACCTTTACATTTCTGTGCAGCTGAAATCTTGGTAAGTCTGAATTGAGAGAATGAGCCTGAACGCATCACGAAGCTACAAAACAGCATTTTTACAAAAGCAAGACTGTGCTGTGTGCTAGCTTAAAAACAAATCACTACGGAAAAGGAAACTCACATTCATAAATCCTGTGTGGTGAGATGGAGTGGCACTGAAACACTAAATACAGAATGACGGTGTCGAGTCATTTCTCGCTTCAGAGGCACGATGAATGGATGTCTACAGGGATATATCATCATATATATGTGGTGACAATTTGTGTCCGCATCGCAAGATAATTCATTTGTGTAATATATAATTAAATGGGCTTCCGTAGAAGAAGGAATAGTAATTGTAATACAATAAGATAAATAGATAATAATAAACTAAGTGTTTGGTTCACCTTGTTCATTCACAACCGGAAGCTGCTTCCACACCAGGCTTTAATAGGAGCTGTAAGTGAAGAGAAGCGCTTGTTTTATTCTGCTTGGAGCACCAGGCGGGTGGAGTTAGCAACTCAAGGACAACTTAGATAAAGTCAGGTACATTTATGTTATAAACTAGAGAAGTTTATTGGTACTTCACTGGCTGAAGTGTCCTGTTAAAATCCTTTAACTTGACAAACTATATGTAGTTTATCTTGCTGTACTCAAGGTATGTTAACCTGCAAGTAACCACAATCAAAAAAGGACTACAAACAAACTTTTTGGCAGTTGAAACATAGCTTAGCATAGATTTGTGGCTAGTTAAACAAAACAAAAAAACATTATATAGAGCCTAAAATGTTTTTTGTACCAGCATGTTTATTTCTGCTGTGAAGCCTCAAGTGGTCAATCGTGGAACTGCACTATTTGGCAATTCCGTTTTGGCACCAGAGGTCAACGCTCAGTTTTAGCAGATATGGTGGTGCAGGTTTTTTTTTTTGGAAGTTAGGAAAACAAGGACTCCCTGGACAAAAACCGAATGGGATTTTTTCATTGGATTTTGGATTATTGCCAAAAATAAGCGTTTGAGGCTTCCTGTTGCACTCCAAGCAGTACTTCCTGTTGAAGCCCGGTGTGGAAAGCCCTCTGTAAGATTCTCCTGACTCTGAAGGTGCTTTAACATGCTATAATTGTGTAATAATCCATGTGTGTATATATAGTTGGTCGTCCAATATTACAGTTTAATTGTGGCCCTAAATCTAAATTAGTAAATGCTGTTAGGCCTATATGTGATCTTCTGTAAAACTTTTTTCTTGCGTCTGTTCCATCAGAAACGTTGTGCCTTTCAGTTTTACGAGTATTTGTCATTGCTTACAGTTTGTGTTCAGAACTGGACATTCGAGATGCTCGTAGTGCAGCAATCGACGATACAGTAATTTGTGTATTGTTGAGAAATTTAAATAAAAAAGCTATGAAATGTTCATGTTTTTAAGTTGCATTACGATAAAAAAGTGTTGTTTGGGAGTAAAAAAGGTAAATTCGGATTTGTTTACACATTTTCTGCCAATTTACCAACAGATTTGTTTATATTTCTTCATTTATCACTAATTGTTTTACAATATTTAGGGATGAGAGATGCTAAGGCAAGTTTTACACTGGCTCATGAAAACATTTATTGCAACCAGATTAGAGCGATTTGTAGATAAATATTCGTACCTAACATAATAAGAACTTTACCTAGAATGATTTACGTATTTATTTAGCTAAATAGAGTATACTGCAAATTAGCGTCCAACATTTGTACTCAAAACAAGTTAATCTCCACATATGTATTTGACCAATTTCAGACATATTATGGGCCATTAGACTTTAACAAAGATTGCCTCTATGATCATTGAAAATCTCCAGATGCAATGATCCAGTGCAAATAGGGTTTTAAAGAATAACATGTAGGTGTTTTATAAGAGTGTCAAACTCTGGTCCTTTGTACGAAGCCAGAGTCTATTTGGTCAAGATTAGACGAGGGAATCAAGCTACTTTTTTCTTTAATGGTTGGATCAACAGGTATATCTTTTTGAAGACACTCAGCAACTTTCTGTAAATTGAAGACGTACAGGTGGTTTATGTCCCTGAATTCATGTGCCAACAAAGCAGCAGAGATTTAGTGTTTCAAATTATGTTGAATATTTTACTTTTTTTTCAACTGGAAAGTTTGTATGCATTAAGTGGTGACATACAACTCAAGAGCACAGTGGTGTGAAAACAAAGTGACGGGATCAGAAACTCAAAACTGATCCTTAAAGTTTTACAGCACAATGTGAGGAAAGCAAAAAATGTTGAAACAAGACCGCCAGCAACCAACCAGTGTTTTGTTAATCAAGTCCCTCTCATTCACAATCACACACACACACACTCAGAAACACACTCATCGGACACACAAAACAAAGACACAGGAGACTTTTGGTTCCATTGTCCCCCTCCAACGCCATCCCATAATGGTGCATTATCATGCAAACCATGCAAAAAACCATGAAAATGTATTCATATAAAAAATAAGTGTTACAAAATGGCATAGCAAGTATATGTATCCATTCAATCGCTTTTTCCGTTTCCTGATATCCTGAACTTTGCAGTGTCTACACTAAAAATCGCATGCGTTACATGCAGTGCGGTTGGCTTTGCAGCGATAAAGCTTTTGGGTGTATATAGTATGTATTTTGAAGTTCTTTTTTTTTGTTACCTAAACTTTTGCGAAGATTGTGCTGTACAGAGTTTTACTTTACAAACTGTCTGTTATTTCCCTTTTTTTCCTGGGCAGTCTCGATGCCATGGCTCTCCGTCTGGACGGCGGTCGGTTGATGAGAGCGTTTGACCTCTAAAGGTTTGGAACTCGCTCACAACCTCGCAGCATCAGGGTGGATTAAACCCCGCCTTTTACCTCCAAATGGTACGGTCCAGAGGTGGCTTTGACCCAAACTAATTTGGGTTTTAGAGGCATGGGTAGGATTTAAGGTCTTAACTCTGAGTTTCTGCATGATGCACGAACACGTCTCAGGGTGGCGTGTTCCAAACAGCGTCACCAAACCCCTCCCCAGTGGAGGATAGTGGGAGTGGCCCCCCACTGGGTGTAAATGGATCTGTATCCGTGTCTGTTTCTCCCTCTGCCAGGTAGCTTGGTCTGGGTTTCGTCCAGCTAGCGTTCCCGGCCCCCATTGACAAATCATCCCCTTCCTCCCTCTCCGCAGAGATGCTAAACCCACTTAGCGACCGCTCCAGCTCCTCGTGGTTCACGGATAGCATGGATAGCGGCGAATCACCCCCCTGCCCCCCTGTGGTCCTTCCTGGAACTGCAGATAAATCCTGCAGAGAGCTGATGGGCAACACCGTGGGACGCTCAACGTAAGTAGGGATGGCGGCTGGAAGGTCGCGTTGGTGGAGGTGTTGATGCTCAGGAGGTAAACGGCTAATAACGGTTACCCCCGTCCCCTCTCCGCCTCCTCTTCCTCGACCGTAACACGGATTCCCCTTGGTGTCAGGGATCTGGTACGCCATGTGCGGGAACGCCTCGGCGTAGTTGAGGAAAACCCGCCGGATTTCACCGTTTGCGGCAGGAGCGCAGGTCTCCAGGGTCATGTGGGCGGCGCCGGCGGAGTCAACCTGCAGGTGCTCAGTGTGCTGGATGTGCATGTCCACCAGGAAGTCCAACTTCTTCTCCATGTCCTCCACCTGAGCAGAGATGGCAAAAGTACACACATCCTTTATTCAAGTAGAAGTACAGATACTCATGTTTAAAAATACTCTGGAAAAAGTAGAAGTACTGACTAAACTTCTTTACTCAAGTAAAAGTAAAGAGGGCTTTGAAATGTACTTCAGTAAAAAGTACCCATAACTAGCAGCTGTTTTAAAGAGTACCTGACCTCCCTTTATATTAATAGAACAATAATGTCATTGTTAGCTAATGAATGTTTCCATGCTGAACAACGGCAACATGACAACGTTTTCATTGGTCCCTCTTCTTTATAGAAGACCAGGAAATTATGGATACAAATAAAAGTACTAATACCACACTGTTACAAGTAAAAATCTGGCATTGGAAATGTTACTTAATTAAAAGAAAGTAAGCATAACCAGCATAACATTAAACGTATGATTGACACCTCTTTTGAACCGTTAGAGCCAATAGAATCGAGGCGAAGTTCCTCAAATCCATCTAAACATTACCCATTGGTGAATGAGTGATGCGCAGCCAGAATGCCCCGGAACCGGAAGCTGCGATACACTCTGGTGGCTATCATTAGCAGCAAATATGAAATCTCCGTTTTTGACATAAAATTTGAATGATGGATTATTAGTAATCATTTCAAATTAACACAGACACATTGGATTAACCTATGGATTAACCTTCAGCAGCGTTTTTATCATTTTAATGCCATTGAACACGACTTTTGATCAGAAAACAACAAAGGTAAGACGTTTTTAGCCGTTTTGGCTCCGTAAAGCTATTTTTGTTGTTGTTGTTTGTTGTCGTTTCGCCGCAAATTCTGATCGCTCAGTGATGATACTTATATGTCTGGAATCTGTGGAATCTCAGCTTGCTAATCGATATCTTGTTTGTGCAGATCCGATAAGTAATAAGGGTATTTTACCATGATTTCTGTGCTAAGTGAGTTAGCATTTTTCCGCTCAGGGCTAATTCAGAGCCTTTTTTATTACCCTTTTGTTTCGTTTAGCTAAAAATGGTTAATATTGTCTGAAAGCTGAGTTTCTTCCCGTTAAGTGAGTATGACACATTCATAGTTTAACTAATGTCAACTTTGTTGTAGCATCAGCTAACCGTTAGCTTGCTAACGTAATGTGACTTTACATAGCAATGTTAGCTTTGAATAGACACAGCTGTCGCAATCTGTTTAGAAACTTTTGTTTTAGTTTGCGATACAATATCTCCAATGCATGAAAACATCTGAGTTCCTTTATCTTGCTCACACAGTGCTTTGAAGCTTGAATCCTCACCTGTCTCTCCACCCTGACAAATCTACCCATCATGCTTTGGTCTTCGGCATCTGGCAAGGACACGGCTTTGGCAATGTCGGCCTCATGCCTGCAACACAGGGACAGTTAGTGGAGGTGGACTTCACAAAAATGTGTTAAAGGGGGAAATAACAGTATCATTTGCGTAAAGCATCAACTTTGGAGGTAAACAGTATTCAGTATCATTGAAACTGTTAACTGTGAAAGAGAATCGAGACAAAGGGTTAGGGTTATGTAAGCAAGATACATTTATAGTTGACATTTCAACTAGCTTTAATACAGCACATACAATTAAGTACTTGCAGTTTGCAGTCATTTTCTTTGTAATATAGTCAAGGCAAAGCAATTCAAAGTATTTAATATAATATTGCATTACAATGATAAGATTACCTTGTCAATTCATTATGTTTAAACAGAGTGACTGTACCTGGGTGACTGATTGGACGGGTAGGTAGAGGGCGTTTTCGGAGTTTTCTTAGTTTTTGGAGTGAGGGGGACTCCAGGGGCAAGAATCATGTCGATCCTGAACAGAACAGAAACAGAATGAGCTTAAGATAAATTATACTTTTCTTAACTCAAACAAACTAGTCCAGCTGGCGAGGTTACTGACCTTGTCTGGAGGTATTTAATTCTACAGAGCATGTCCAGGTGTCCAGCAGAGTACTGCTCGATCACGTCTTTGACGTCGTAAGGCCTCAGAGTTTCCTTAAACCGCTTCTTGTTCAAGAGGAATTGCATGATCCTGTGAGAAAAATAGTTTTAAAATCAACAGTTTGGACAGAATCTCTTCGTTCATACATCTCAAAAATATGGGGCATGTTTACAACCTGTCTGATAGCGTGATAATTCTTGTTCTTGTCCTGTTGAGATTTGTATGTTGGCATGTCCAAAGTTCTAAGCATTTCACTTCTTTAGACACTCAAATTATCTATTTGTTAGATCCAAGCCACTGTAAAAATCTTTATTCATTTATCCAATTATGGCTGCTTATCCTGGTCGAGGCCGCTGTCCGATGCGTTTCCAGGCCAGATGTTCATGGTTTGGCGTTCCCAAATTAAAACTATAAATGTAACTAGGAGGGATCTACCACCTCTACCGTTTTCCTGTTTCCAACATGACCCATTACCCAACTAAACAAACAAAGGTCGACTAGACAATGGGAAGCGTAAAATCCAACCAGTTCGAGATCAAATCTGACTGTCAATCTCCATCTTACCATCACTCATGACTCAAAGATACACTCCCTCCAAACCATTTCAATCCATCCACACTTACACACTAGTACCTGGGATCAAAGACCAACACCTTATCTTTCTGATTGTACTTGGGATTAAACTTGACATCTATCAGTTCTTTGAAAGTCTTCTCCAAACTTGAGTCCACCCTGCCACCCACTGAGCTCCTTCTTTGGTCCCAAAGATCTCCCACTTTGAGCGGACTTAAACCCAACCTTTCCCAGTGTCTGTGGTTGCTGCTCGAGCTTCAGTGTTTGGCGGAAAATCTTGGGTCCTGAAACTAAACCCTGACAGGTCTGAGGATCCCATTCAGACCCATTCATCCCTGAAATAATGGTGTGGAAGGAAGCAGCACTTTCACAGGGTTAATCACTCATCTCACAGGCCCTCACAATAGATTGAATTCCTGCATGATGTCAGCTGTGTGGCCTATGGATTTACCAGCACACTGTAAGCATGAGTAAGGCCGGCCTTCACTGTCTGGTTCCCACTGATAACTATTGTACTCCTGCTATAATGCTCTGTGCTGTATTTATTTCTCAGTCTTCCAGCAGTTTGTATCTAAATCTATCAATTCAGGTCAAATGTGGTCAAAAGTTTGCCCATGAACATCTTCGATTTTATTGAACAGTAATTTCCAACAAATTCCACTGAAATGTTATTTTTACCTTCAGCGTTTTTCACCATATATTTTCTTCTTTATTGCCTTTGTTGGGCCATTGTTTTTCTTTGCACGTTCCCACCATGGACGATTGATCAGTGGAATAGCTAACCATCTGCAGGACTTATATTGCCAACATTTTACACAATACTAACAAAACAAGGATCGACAGGGAACCTCAAACCCCAGGCTAAAATAAATTCTCTGCCCTCTCTAGGTGGAACATTTGTAATCTGATTCACTCTGACTACATCCATTGTCACTTATCACAACCTGGAGTACACTTCTGCATCAAAGCAGCAAAAAAAAAGAAACCTGGAGGTCAACAAAAGCAAGATTTATAGCTGCTGTCAAGGAGTTTCTGAGTGCTTTCTGGTTTATGGAACATCATTATATTTTACCTGCAATACAGTATATTATATAGCCAATAGCACCATCCCTTCGAATAACATGAAACTATATTTTTATCTCATGAAACAATATAACGTCAATCTTTTAAACGATCAGGGACAATTGATGCTCTAATGCTGTTTTGTTGAAACTTTGAAGGAGCACAGAGCTTCATGAAAAGTATATTTAAAGTTCCTGACCTGACTGCTCTGATGACCAGTTTCAGTGTTGGGATCATTTCCTCCATGAGGATATCTGGAGGGAAGCCTCGCTCCTCTAAGGCTGAATCTGCCAGGGCTCCAGAATCTGACAAAGAAAAACAAACCATAGATAGTTTGAATGACAGTGGCCATATTGTCTGGGACCAGTTACCACATTTAGAAATTACATCTTGTAGAACACTGTTAGAACAATATCCCTGGTCACCGGCTTGAGCTTCAATCTCAGGATCCATGTATCTGTGATCCTCTCCAGAATGGAAGTAGTCATCACATACAGAGCATCAGCTAGTTCCTGAACAGTGTCCTTCACATGCTGATATTGTCGAAGTCAACTTTATTGTCAAGCTTTCAGTTTGTGTGTACAGACAGAGAGATCGAAATAAATGTCCCACAATCCCGAATACAAAAAAACAAATATATATAAAAATATGTATATCCTATACTGTCTATACACAATCAACAGACACATGTATACATATGCACACATTAAGACATAAATAAAAGCACCAATCAATATACAAAATAACAGTCACTTCAATATCTTTGGGAAATGTACAGTAGTGCAAGATAGCAGCGTAAAAAGTGTCTGGTGCTGGATGTGAGTATTTGAGTTACCATGTGTTACTCTGATATTGGAAGAGTACATTCAGTATTTTCCCAACAAACACCAAGCCTTTATTTTTATGATCGCAGCCTTTATTTGTTGCGTACCTTCAGAGCCCTGACGCATCGTGTAGGCCTTCATGCGGAAGGCGGTGCGAAAGCGTTCTCTGTTACTGAAGCCGGCGGGTTTGGGCTCCTTGGACGGACTTTCCTCGATGGAGTCGGCCGGACCCATGAGCCTCTTCCCCGACCCGATCGATTGCCGACCGCTGGGAAGGCGAACACGCTCAAGTAAACTCATTTTTTGGCTGAAATGGAAAAAAGACAGAAATCAAAGTCAGTCAAAAAGTCAATTCAACTTTATTGTCGATCTTCCGGTTTGCGTGTACAGACAGAGAGATCGAAATACCGTTTCCCACAATCCCAAATACAAAAATACAAATATATATATATAACAATATGTATGCAATCAAAGACACATTTATACATATGCAGACATTAAGACCTAAATAAAAGCACAATAATCAATATATAGAAAATAACAGTCACTACTGTGATAATACATAATATACAGTTCCTTTAATGTCTTATGACAGTTCTTTTAATGACCAACTTCTCACTTCAAATACAAAGCTGGTGATATTTTTTTGCCCGGAAATAGGAACATGGCGGAACATGTTCTGTCATCAATGTTAAGAATTAAAGTTTTATAATGAGGAGATTAAGAGGCATATAGTTGAGATCTTTGCTTAAAGGGGACCTATCATGCAAAATGCACTTTTGTACATCTTTTCTACATGAATATGTGTCCCCGGTGTTCCAGGGAACTCACCAAGTGTCAGAAAACACAACCCTCTCTATTTTCCTCCATACCCAAATCTCTAAAAAAGGGGCTGCAACGGATTGTGGACCTATCATGCTATATTATTCAAATATAGCATGATAGGTCCACTTTAAGTGATTAGTGTCTATCTTGCTTTAGGCACTTTTTTGGTTTGTCGAATTATCCCTGATCAAGGTCTATGGACTGAAATGTTGTCTCCTGTCTTAACAAGTCTCCAACAAGGTGTAGGATTTCAGGTCTGTTATCAGTGAATCGTTGTTTACACTACATATGGGTGGACTTAAGACATGTTTGACAAAGTCGTTAACCAAATGTTGGTGGAATTACAGTCGGTCCAGCCTTGTTTCCTTCATAGTGTGTAGGTGATAAAGGAAGTATTAATCTTTTAACTGCAATATTTCTGTAAGGTTTTTCCGTAGCTAAAGATCACTGAGATGTGTGAAAGCTGCAGGTCGAGTTCTTTGGGTTTCTAATCTTTTGAATGCCTTCTAGGGACTCTATTTCAATATGTAGTCAGGATATATTGCAATTAAGATAGAATGATTGAAACATCCTGGCAAGGACAAAAAGATTCGGAGACAGTTTCTTCCCGCGGGCAGTGAGACTGTTAAACAATTGAACTGTTGAAACAACTTCAAACATTCATCTGCTACTCAGTAGTATGTATCTAATACCTAATATATATATATCATTCCAATAACTTGTATATAGACTCGTACTGCACTATTCCACATCATCACTTTATTTTATAACTATTTTTCTGTTTGTATTGCTCTTGCTCTTATTGTTATTATGTTATTATGTTGCATTGTTGGAGAAGCCTGTGACATAAGATTTTCAACTACATAATTACTCTGTAGCTATGTCAGTTTGACAATAAAGAACCTTGAACCTTGAACATAGTCACTGAACTCCTGCTGAAACCCTCTCAACGTTTTTTGGAAAACTGTTTGACCTGAAAGCTTCGCACGTCCTGCAAAACATTTTTGTGTTTCTTGCATTCTTAGGACGAAACAAACTCCTTCATCATCTGCAGGAATCTCTCTTCTAGTCTCAGCAACAACCTTCCTTGAATCTGCCTTTCCTCTCACAGAGGACTTAAAGTCTTCATGCTCTGCTGCCTCGGCGTAACAATGCTGCTCTCCTGGCAGAAGGAAGCCTCAAAGAGCTGCGAGAGATTGGTCTCCTTTATTGTCCAATGGCTGACAATATTTGGCAGCACAAAGACAAGAGCTCCCTCGGTAAAATAAGACTCCTGTGTGCCTTGGAAGAGGCAGAGAGGCGGGGTAACCGGAGCCGACAAACAGCCGAAAACAGGGCCTCTGAAACGTGGAGCGTTCTCAGCGACTTTGCTCCCACAGCAGACACACAATATGAGCCTCTATGTGGCCTCGGGGTAGAATAGGGACGCAGATTACGGCGCTGAGAGGCTGCAGAATAGGACGCTTTAAAGGAAGAGAGAATCTCTTTTCGGCCGAATAAAGAGCAGAAAATTACGTGTGATTATCCCGCTGCTCTCTGTAAGGAAAGCAACACAACAGGAAAAACATAATGCATCTTATCTCCCACCGCTCTGAGCCTTCCCAGGACACATATTGGTTTACTATACCTGGGCAAATTTGCAGTGCTATAATATTAAAGGATAAATCCACTTCATTACAACTTGGCTATTATTTCCTTGTGTTTTGCGATTGTTTCAAGCTGACTATCAATTTCTGTAGTGATCTAAAACACTTGATTTGGAAATGAATGTTAATACATCAAAGAAATTGGTAATTATCATAATTTTTTCTGGAAGACTATGAGCATATAAGTGGTCTGTAAACTATGGATATGTTAGAGTCATAACTTTGGCAGTTAATGTCTTCTCTTCTGAAATAATGTCTGAACATTACAAACTTCATACGGATAACCACAGGTTCCATTACAGTACATTGGTGTTCCTATTTATGTTTAATTACCACAACTGTATATTTAAGTGGAAAGGAATATGTTTTATGAGACTTATCTAGGTTTAATTGTGTGTGCTTCCAACTAGAGTTAAAAGGGAAAGGGTCTTAGCACACTTCAAGCTTGGCCTTTTCTTACTCGAGCAGCTCCCAGTGACACAACTATCCCTTGTTCCTTATCTGTCATCAACTAATCCTCTTGATCTCCTAAATCCCAACTTCTGCACCTGTAAGAAACATTGTCTGCACTCCAAAGGTCTGTAATGTGTTTTCACAATGAGAGCTACGCTAACCATCACCTCTCTTTAAACCTAACCCTAATTTAACCCTATCTTTAAATCAAGTCTTCAACTTAAAATGTTAGGATTTACCTTATAGCAATACATTTACTCAAGTAAAGTATGATTTTAAGGAACTTGTACCTAAAGTAATTCCATTTTATGCTACTTCATACTTCTACTCCACTACAACTTGGAAAATATATTGATCTTCACCTGACATAATGTGTTACTAGTACCTTTGCAGAATCCTATTCAATTGAATTATTATGTATTATTATAGATTGAGATTAAAAAGTCCACTCCACCTTTACCAGATGCCAAATTAAAATGATGAAATATTGAAAATAATATATTGCTATTTAGCATAATCAGTACTTTGAGTTTTGGTACTTTAACCTGTTTCACGCCTTCCCCCGGTACCGGGCGGATAAACGCGTCATTTGCAGGAAACAACGTCTAAGGAATCTTAATATTGAATAAAACTATGAATGTGTTATATCCATGTAACGGGAAGAAACTCAGCTAACTGATCTTTTTAATTTTTTCTTTCAAAAAAACCCCACAATGCTAGCACTCAGCCTCTGAATTAGCCTCGATCGAAAAAACGGGACCGACAAAGGCACATAAACTCACTCAGAACTCCCTTATTACTTATCCTAGATGCACAACCAAACACTATTTTTTGGTGTCCTGGAGACACTGAATCTAACGGTGCCCACCTCAACACTCAGTGATAAACATTCGCGACGCTATCAACGAAAGCGTACATCATCACATGTGGAGCCAAGAAGCTAAACATGTAAATATGGCTCACCTTGGTCAAAAGTGGTCTTCAATGGCATTAAAACGATAGAACAACGATGCTGCAGTTAATCCATAGGTTCATCCTATGTGTCTGTGCCTTCTTTGAAATTATTTCTGATAATCCATAAGCAATACAACTGCGTTTTAGTTTCCAAACTCCAGAAGGAGACATTCCTCCAGTTTAGTTTCGCTTTCCACACGCGAAGCGGCAACATTTTTTCTTTATAATGTGTGTCTATGTGAGTCTCCTCCTTCGATTCTATTGGCTCTAACGGTCACAAGGGTATGTCAACCAACCAGATCGAGCAAGGGGGGCCAGAGATAGGTCAAATCCACCCAAATGACCCCAGATGGCCCAGTTTTTGGCTAAATCTCTCTAAAAAGGTCAAATTTCACTTGTTTTGCATCAATCTTGATACAGGGTACTTATTATATGTTGTACTTTGGATTCCTAAAGCTTTTAGTCTACTAACCCATCATCCAAGGGTAGTTTTCACTATCTGTAAAAAATAATTTTTGGACGGACACTATAATTTACAGTTTTTTACTATGTAAAATCTGAATTTTCTTTAAAATAAAAAACATTTATATTGATTCTGACACTTCTACATCCAACTCACAGGTTTATCATTACTTTGAGAAAAGATTATTAATTTAACCCTTTTAGAAGGGAAGATATGGTCATTTGTTCTGGGAATGTCATTTTCGAGCCTGAGACCTGAAAAACAGGCTCAGAGTGGAACAGGTTAAGTATATTTTGATGCTAATCCATTTGTACTTTTACTTAGATAAAAAAAAGTGTTACTTGCAACTGAGTATTTCTACACTGTTGAATTACAACTTTTACTTATCTAAACAATCAGAGTATTTCTTCCAACACTGCTTTAGGAAAGTCCCCACAATGTGAGTGTGTAATCAGAGTTATGTCCCCACATTGCCACCAAAACAAAACACACCAACACACACACACAAACTGAAAAGTGATTTGAGATGGGATATCATTTTCTGTCGGTGCTGTATTGACTGGACCACACAATACAGCTGGATAACACAGATAAAAGTATAGTAATGTGCAGGGTACTAAGTGGCTTATCACCCTCTGGTTGGACCTGGCAGCTCTGTTGTAGTTTTTGGCCGCCGTCCACCGTTTCGCTGAGAGCAACAAGATAATGTCAGGGCGCTAATTTCCCAGCCGCTGATCCTACAAGGGACTTACAACTCTCTCCACATCGCCTCGTTCCCCCCTCTCTGCACCCTGAAGTGTCTTTACATACTTTTGAAAAGAATATCCTATATTTTATTTCCCCTGTTTTCCTTTAGACACTTCAATCTGTTCAAGGTTCAAGGTTCAAGGTTCAAGGTTAGTTTATTTGTATAGCACAGTTTAAGACACAGAGGCAATTCAAAGTGTTTTCACATAGGCATTTAACACATAATAATGATGTTCGTCTAATTGTCCTTTATATTTATTTCTCCCATTTTTTCTACATTATCTTTGTGCTAAATACTTTGCCTTAAAGATACCCTATTCTGTTGTTTGTAGTGTAGTTTGTTCTATAGGTTTTAGTGCATGTAGATGGTCTGCAAAGGGTGAAATGCGTCTATTTCTGGTAATTATTTGGTTATACTGGCCGTTAATGTTAAGCCAACCAAACAAAGTTTATCGTTAAGTGTCTAAGTTATCTGCCCCCCTCACACAGACACACACACGCACACGCACACGCACACACACACACACACACACACACACACACACACACACACACACACACACACACACACACACACACACACACACACACTATCAGCCTGTGTATCAGGGTCCTGTTGTTGTAGCTTTTAGCAGCAGTAACTTAATCCACATGTTGAACATGGCGGCTCAATGGAGGCCAAGAGGCGTCGGAGCAGAACGCTGCAGTGTAATGAGGCTATGTTAGACATGGGGGGGGAGACAGATGCTTTGGGTTGATAACACACACCTCAACTGGACTGGGGAGGTAGTTGTGTATCATTACAGCCTATGGATATTACTCAAAATAATGTATTCATTATGAAGTGGCTTAAAAGTTTCTAGATTCAATTCCAACATACGGGGGTGTGATTTCAACGCACAAATAATCCAGAACGATAATCCATTTTGTCAAGATGAATCCATTTATTTTCCATTGCACCATAAATCTCTCCTTCTGAGTGTGTGTGGTTGAACTGGTTTAGCTTCTTCCCCGTCTAAAACCAACCCCTTCCCCATAAACAAAAATAATATAGCATATAGGAGACCAAGGGGTGTCAACAAATATATTCAGGAGCGTAAACAACTAAGGTGAGTAGATAAATATTCAACAAATAGTATCTGCAGGCCATGTATACTAATAAAACAAGACATGTTAAACAATAAAAAAAAAAAAAAAACGCATATAATAAACTCAGTTAAAGGTGGGGTAGGTAAGTTTGAGAAACCGGCTCGAGATACACTTGTTGTTATATTCCATGGAATGCTCTTAACATCCCGATAGCAATGAATATCTGAAGTGCTTTGACAAAAAATCCATTAAAAAACATCATCTGTGGAAGCCGTAGTTCTGTAAAAAGCACGACCAATCATCTGAGCCGGCCCGGCTAAAATAACTGGATGGCCTACCTGCCTGTCAGCCTTCCATCTGTGCACAAACTTATCTCGTGCCCTCATTGGTCATGTGCACGTTTGTGTGTGTTGGAGGAGGGGCTCTGTGAGGAAGTGGCAGATTTTCTCCGGTTGTGTATTTTCAAATTCTAGCGATCTCGAGCCGGTTTCTCCAAAATGACCTACCCCACCTTTAAATGGCTCCTACACATTATATAATATGTTAAATCTGCTAAAGATGTCCTTTTTATTGCATTTTTCCATGAAATGCTGGAGCTTCAAAGATCCAGATTTTGCAGCACTTTTCATTAATAAAGGTGCTTCATCTTCCTGATAAGTTATTTGATCATGTGAGCATGCTTTCTCTGGGCTAACCTGTGAACAAATCTAAAGATGTCACTATGTTCCTGAAGTCAACAAAGGAGTCAATAGAGGCTTTGCAGACCATTTACATGCACCAAAACCTATAGAACGCACTAGGGGAAAAGGCACACACAAACTGAATAGGGCCCCTTTAAAAAACAAAAGTGTTGCAGAGTTTTCATCCATAAAGAAGATCATGTTTCATTTTATTTGAGTATATTTATATAACTGTGTGAAATACCGGCCGATGAACAGTCGATGGGGTCAGTGGTCACCAGAAATAACTATGTATTGATCACTGCGATAGATTTATGACATCATTTCCGCAGTTTATGAGGATGAGACACATTTCTTCCACAAATCAAACCTCCTCGGTGAGATTTGCTCTGCGTGTTTTGCTGCAGAGATTCATTAACATCATCAAACCCAAAGCCCCCCATCTCAGGCTCTAATTACTCGATCTAAACTGTCATTCATAATTGAAACCATAACTAATGGACTCGCTAATAGGCTTTCTAAAATAAATCCTGCAGCCTAAATGCCATCAGAGTAGCTGATGGGGAAGGCGGTGCTATTAGAGAGCGGGACAAGTGGGAGTTTTATATCACCATTCATATATTTACCACATTAACCCGGAGATTTATTCCTCTGAATTAATACAGGACGCTATTTAAAAGCGGGGGTATTCGAGGAAACCTTCATTAGTATTTCCAGCATGTGGAGATATTTAAAGCACCATCAGAAAGACTCTGAGATTTAAAGATCGCTGTAGGAAATCAAACAGTGACCTACCTGGCTATGCCCTCCAAGTGATCCTTCCTGCAGGTGGAGAGAGGGGAAATTAAAAAAGTTAACAACCGAGGACTGATTAAAGCTGAAATATCCTTAAACAATCATAAAATACACATATTTATACATATTTATATTTTTTGAATTCATATTTAAGCAAAAAACTGTCTTAAAGTCACATTTTTAAAGCTTTTTGCACAAAGTTTCAATACAATACAAATACTTTATTGTCAGATCAAGTCCGATTGGATGACTAATCCCCCCCCGTTTTCGACCACCCATACCAAAACTATTTCTATGAGAGATACCCCTACCCCAGGTTAAAACAAAACAACTTTTATGAGAAAGTAATCATCTCTGGTACATACAAATAAAATGTTTGAGTAATTAGACTCAGAAAAGTATAAGCATACCTTTTGGATTCTTAATTTCCCATTCCATTGTCGCCTATCATTCATGTGTTTAAGTGTTAATATTACAAAGGTGGTAAAAGGTATTGATATGATATTTGCTGTATTGTATGCATCCCTCTCTGTGAACATCCAGTCCAAATTCGGTGACATTCTGATTATTATTTCCAGAGATACATGGGATAAGGCCAACGCTGTCCCATTCAGAGCAGCCTACATTTTCACTATTTTCGGTTATGGGAACGTTGCAAACATCAACCAAAAATCGTACCTTAACTTTTAGGGGGCCTAAAAGTTCCTCTACTTACTACTTGAACCATGTAGTATATCAATAATGTAAAACAGTCATAATCACACATTTAAAAAACTGAAGAAAGTTGTTTTTCACATTGAACACATGTATCTACTTGCCCCAAAAATAAATAAAAATGCACCATCTATTGCCAATGGAAGTTTAAAACAAGTAAAGCCACACTAAAGCTCTGTCTATTTGCTTGGAACATTTACAACAATAAATGTCTATAGTACGATTTAATAAATGAAGTTTGGTCTTAAATGAACACATTTCATGCAACTACTGTACATGTTTGCAACATTTAACAAAATGTACAGTAGTTGCATGAAGGACTTTTAGGTAAACGTATGTCATGTCCTTTTTAACGTGACTTTAAAGTTACTTGCCTGAAACAGGGGAGAGAGATAATCGTTTCGTAGAATCTCCACGTGGCAATAAGGTCGTCCCTGATTGGATTGGTGGAATAGTATCGCCAGGCAGACTTCAGATAGGACGACAAAACACAGCAGTTTTAATATGAACAGTCTGATTCAGTTAGCTGTACAGTTTGTTTTCAGACTCTCACCTGGATGAGCCCGGCGGCCGGTTGTCGTCTCTTCTCAAAGTGTTTCTGCCTGTGCTGCTCCTGCACCTTCAGAGCCAGACCTGACCCCAGGATGCCCTGCACACACAAAACACCATCATGTACCCCTCTTTAAAAAAGAAATATCCATGGACCCAACATAAGCTTCCTATGGTTTGGTCACGTTAGGTTTAAGGTGTCAGATCCCACTGCATCGGGCAAAATACACAAGATCTTAGATATGATTCACAAGATAAAGTCATGAAAATAGAAAATCGGTGCAGGTGTGTGGGCTTACATAGTGAAGGTTTTTGCAAACAGAAGATTTCTTCTTATTAAAAATGATGCAAAATCTTTATTTTGTATCTAACATTTTGGTTTGCTGTCCCTCGTGATCATTTGGGCTGTTTTTGTTTGACTCTAACCAGGAGGTTCTACCTGTTACCAACTTACTGGTTAACAATCTCAACAGGAAATCAAGAACAATATAACAGCTACTCACCAAATATGCAAATGATTCTAAGAAAAATACAGATTAGTTACTTAATTATTTATAAAAGATATGTGAATTAAGGTTAAAATGAACATGTTTGTTTAATAAGGAAACAAACATGTTCTGTAAATTGTGCTGATCAAATAATCAACAGGACTGATCTTATGAAGTGTAATTCCTTTTTTTAAATGTCTTCATCAATCACATATTCTTAGCAAATAAAGTAGACAAGCTAGACATTAACCATCAGCAGCAGTGTGTGTTAGATTAACCACTGCGGTTATCAATGTGTTTTCTACAGCAGAGTGTACCCACTGCAGGCAGAGCGAAGAAGGAAACTCCGATCAGAGCGAAGGTTCCCGCCAACAATCGGCCCGCCCACGTCTTCGGGGTTTTATCCCCGTAACCAATGGTGGTCAGCGTGATCTGCAAAAGTGTTCGAAAAATATCACTCATTACCTACTTGAGCTTTAATCTCAGGATCCATGTATTCCTGATCCTCTCCAGAATGGAAGTAGTCATCACATACAGAGCATCAACTAGTTCCTGAACAGTGTCCTTCACATGCTGATATCCAAGAGAGGGAGTTACACAGTCACAAGATGGAGGAATACCGGTTCTTGTAATCATACATCCTGTCATGTACAAAATACTGAGTTTTTTCTCAAAATGTTGGCTTTTTTCTGAAAATTCTGACTTTTTTCTCAAAATCCTGACTTTTTTTCTCAAAATTCTGACTTTTTTCCCAAAATCTCGAAAATCCTAATTTTTTTCTCAAAATCTCAAAATTATGACTTTTTCTCAAAAATCTGACTTTTTCCTCAAATTATGACTTTATATAAAAATCTCGAAAATCCTGACTTTTTTCTCAAAATCTCAAAATCCTGATCTTTTTCTCAAAATTCTGACTTTTCTCTCAAAATCTCGAAAATCCTGACTTTTTTCTCAAAATCTCAAAATTATGACTTTTTCTGAATACTTAAAAATGTTAATAATCACTAGTCCCCGGCTTGAGCTTCAATCTCAGGATCCATGTATCTGTGATCCTCTCCAGAATGGAAGTAGTCATCACATACAGAGCATCAACTAGTTCCTGAACAGTGTCCTTCACATGCTGATATCCAAGAGAGGGAGTTACACAGTCACAAGATGGAGGAATAGAAAGCAGTATTCAATGTTTACTTCAGATTAGCTCCACGTCAGAAATGATCATGCTTGTCATATGTCTATCTCCATAGAGGCTGAATCATCATGTTAATCACATAGCTATCATATGCCTAAAACAGTCCTGATGCTCTTCTAGGTAATCAGACATCCTGTCATGTACACAGCTACATTTAGGATACCTTTGTTATCATGTGTACTCTGATATTGGAAGAGGACATTCAGTATTTTCCCAACAAAAAGAGACAAATACAGAGTAGAAACTGGACTACAGTATCTACTTCTGTACTTACACTTGCTATCTTCAGTGTTTTAGTGTGCATCAATGAAGTATGGCAAAAGGCACTATTAGTACCCAGATGTCTAAAGAGAACTGGATCCAGCGTTGGAGGAGATGCCCCGTTAATTCCTATAAGAGTTGCTCAGTGGCACATGAAGCCAAAAATGGAGCGACTGTAGATTCAGAAAGTACCAGTATGTGCGCTCATAAAGCATGCTCAGTGAATTGTTCCTTAAGCTCTTCCTCCCATCTCCAGATCTTGGATCAGTCAATTGAATGGAGAAGAAATATAACTCTGGTTTCAGCTTTTAGCGCAACTTTTAGACCCGTGTGATTTAAATAAGGGTTATACAAGTGTTGGTCGTTTATGTAGCAAGTATGCAAGTGTAGTACCACCGTTTGGCCACTATGAAAATGTGCTTGAACGGCTGGCCCTCCTCCTGCTTCTCACAATCGACAATCAACGACCGGCATCTTGGCTAACATTAGTCGATGCTGCTGCTCTGGTGAAGCCAACACTATACAAAAAATGTGGATTTCATTCTCTACGTAATCACTTTAAAACCACGCTGGTGTCAAAATAAGCCACTGTTTATTTTATTGGGAGTCATTTAGTGGTCTGTTCTGGTTTGTCGATCGTTACTTCCTGTGATTTGAGACAACAGTGTACTAGAGAGAGTATCTGAAATGATCCACAGCACTGCTCCTCTCTGTAACCTCTGTTTGAGTCTCTGATGGCCGCTCAGTGTGTTTCAGCCTCATCTATAACATGAGGGGTGAGTGTGTTGCTCAAGGACACTTCAGCGGGGCAGATGCTCGCTGTCAGAGATGTTGATCTGTGGCCTGCAGGATGAAGGAATCTCTAATGAGGACAGAGAGCTGGAAGGCTTCATCAGAGCAGGAAGCTGAGCCAACACTGGACCAACACTCAACCAGCTGCAGGCTCTCTAATCAAATCAAATCAAATCAAATCAGGTTTGATTTATAAAGCACATTTAAAAGCGATTTTTGGTCGAGCCAAAGTGCTGTACATGTAATAAAAACACATTACTACAATCACAATAAACGACAATTAATTACAACAGTTATATCTTAAAAACAAAATAAAAATAAAACACACGGAAAAGTCAGGAGTCGTGCTCCGCTCTAACTAGAAACCCAGAGAGAAGAAGTGTGTTTTTAGTTTAGATTTACTGGCTTCATGTGTTGTTTACTGGATCTTTTGCATCATTGAAGTGATGATTGCAAGATGGCGCCGCGGACGGCTGCCTCTGTGTTTTTCAATTCAATGCGTTCTATTTCTCTGTTTTTAAATGTTAGTTTTACTCATTCATGCACCACGACATCAAGTCAAATTCCTCGTACGTGTTAACCTACCTGGTAATAAACCTGCTTCTGATTCTGATTCTGATATTTAACAGTGATAATAGCGCTGATGTGCAGTACGTACCAGTCCCCACCAGAGGGCGTCGGCGTACGTGTCGAAGTCCTGCGCTTTGGGCTGCGCGGTGGGGTTGTCGGGGTCAGAAACCTCCATGGAGACATCGTCCTTCTCCACCAGGTACACCAGGAAGGAGGCGAGGATCAGAGACAGGAAGCCGATGTACCACGCCGTGATCAGCTCCTGAAAACACACACATGCACGAAAATGTGACCATTAAAGTGGACCTATCATGCTATATTTAAATGATATATTGTAGGGCCATACCTATATAAGGCATATTTATACGTTTCTGTTTTCAAAATACCAAACAAATCATGCATTTCAGCCATGCCTCATTTCGCTCTATGTGCTGTTCTCCAGCCCTGTTTTTGCAGGGGGCTGATTCTGTGAGCTGCAGCTGACCACGCCCCCCTGCAGGAGAGGGGAGACGTGCTCTGATCAAGTCAGAAGAGGGGGAGAAAAAAAGATCTCCGTCCTCCGTGTTTTATTATATTATTATATAGAGTCGTTATTCATTTGTTTGAAAGCTCAATAAATAATAAAGAAGACCTTTGACCGGCACTTTTCTAATTTTGTCCGGAAGATTTAAACTTTAACGGACATCTTGACCGGCGAAACAAACTGAAACTGAAACTCTGCCGCACGGTCCCCTCGTTCCTTAGAAGAGGCAGAGAGGTGGGTGTTTGTCATCTGCTGGTGGACTAACCGGAGAGAATTACAGTGCTTGCCTCGACGGGGAGGGATTGCATTGAATTAAAGCAGCGGGAACAAACACTTGCCTCGGGGAGGGAGAAAAAAAGCCACAGCGGAGAATAAACAGAAGGGTAACCATGGTAACCATGCACGGGAAGTCTTCTTCGCTGCTTTTGTGGCAGACTACAGCGCCACTTACAGGCCTGGCATATGTACTACAGCGTCTCCAGCGCTTTCGAGCGGCAATGGCCGGCCGTGGCCCAACCCCACATTCCCCTGATAGGTGGAGAGTTGGCCCAATAGCCGTAGCGCCACCGTCCTGACGTCAGGACAGTGTTCAAATCTGGATCAGTTTTTATCAGATCCGTTGCAGCCCCTTTCTTAGAGATTTGGGTATGGAGGAAAATAGAGAGGGTTGTGTTTTCTGACACTTGGTGAGTTCCCTGGAACACCGGGGACACATATTCATGTAGAAAAGACGTACAAAAGTGCATTTTGCATGATAGGTCCCCTTTAAGTTCTCGTTAAATTCTCATTAAAAAGCGTGTTTCTCCTAATGGTGGAGACGCATTTGCACCGGTTGACCGGTAGTTTCAAGATTCAAGATTCAAGGCTTTATCATCATGTGCTCAGCAGCTACAGTGTAGACATGGCAATGAAAAACAGAGCAACATGAATATATATAGGACATAAAACAAATACAACAGATAAAATAGATAAAACAGTGCAAGTAAATACAGATCCCATCCTCGGTACTGAAGTTATTTCACGACATGACACTTCAATTGTTTGTAGTGATAATGTTTTAAGATAAGATAAGATGGAGCTGGACTGCAGCACTTTGACATATAAACGAACGTTACTTTAATTCAGCTGTTTTCCCCAGTATACATTTCCCAGCCTCCACACTGCAGTTTCTATGGGATAAAAGCCCACCTTGCTGTGGGCGTAGATGGCGGACCCCAGCAGTTTCCAGGTGCCCCCCCTCCGGTCCATACGCAGCATCCGGAGGATCTGCAGGAAGCGAAGGCTGCGCAGAGACGTGGCCAAAACGTTCCCCTGATTCCTCACCGCCACCACGGGCACCGAGGCGATCAGCACGAAGATGTCTGGGAAAACAGATTCATGGAAACATTAAAACACATGGAACGAAACCGTAGTTTCAAGATTCAAGGCGTTATCATCATGTAGCAGCTACAGTGTAGACATGGCAATGAAAAAGTGAAGTCACAGGCTCCTCCGACAGAACAACATGAATATATATAGGACATAGAACAAATACAACTGATAAAATAGTGCAAGTAAATACAGATCCCATCCTCGGTACTGAAGGTGTTTCACGACATGACACACGACATGTTGTTGAGCTGAATTGCAGCACTGTTACAGCCTTTATTTAACATATGAATGAATGCTACATTCATCAAACCCCCTGGCTAAACGCGTTCACAGACACTGAACACGAACACAGGAACTTATTCAACTGTCTTTGCAACCCCATTAAGTGCTAAAGAGATTACAACTAAAGTAACAGAGATTAAAACTAAAGTAATGAGCCTGTTTTGAAAATGTAAGAAGTAGAAATCAGTAACAAAAAACTGTAAAAACTAAAGTAGAAACAAGTTCTCACAACTCGTTTTTTTTTAACATATCATTCCTAGGTTCTATAAACCAATACAAAGCCAGTATACTGAAACACAGAGCAGGTCTGGTAAACATCTTACTTATTTTTCCATTTCAAAATCATTGGAGCACTTCCTGCTTCCTGTCTGCATGCACACATACGGCAACATGTAGTACAAATATTCATATCCATGACTTTAGCAAAACTTGAAATACTGTGTTACGTGTAAAAGTAGGGCTGTGCGATTATGGCAAAAATCATAATCACGATTATTTGGGTCAATAATTGATATCACGATTATTAAATACGATTATTCATTGACTTTGAAAACATCCATTTATTGAACTTTAAAACAAAAACAAATAATAATTTGAACAGTATCTTTTTAACTGTTGATTACCCTGAACGTATAATTCAACTGAAAAACTAATACAAAAATAAATTAAATAAATTATACATTTAAATAAATAATATCAAAATAATAAATACCAATAAACAAGATCAACAAATATTTTGGAGCGCACTTCCACAAGCTACTAAACATATATAAATATGATAAATACAAATAAATGAGACCAAAATAAATTGGATCAAATATGTTGCAGTGTCACAACCTAGCAAAGCAACATAATTGTTTTTTTCGATTATGTTGTTTTCGTAATTGTGGCAGGCCAAAATCGTAATTGCGATTAAAATACGATTAATTGCACAGCCCTAGGTAAAAGTCCTGCATTCATAAAAGATAAAGACAAAAGTACAAGAGAATTACGAACAAATTGTTATTAAACTCAGTAGAGGTGTTTAATATGCAGAATGGCCCCTTTCTGAGTGTTTCAATAGAGGGCCAAAGATTCATGGAAAAATATTCTTTATTAGACGCTTTTATCAAACCCTTAATGAGCAGACACAGTTATTAAATGTGCTCTGAGGAGGGGGACGCAGAGCGGAGGGATGAGCTCCTAGTGAGTGAAACGCTGATGATTGAGTTGTAACACATCACAGTGACCTTTAACTGCAACAGCCTTTAAGTCATCAGATTAAGTGTTTAGGAAAATGGGTTTTATGACATTTCAGAATAAAATGAAAATTAAAGATCAATAAATAAAAATTGCATTAAAGTATTTATATATATATGTGCAGTAAAACGTGAAATAAAATATAATGAAAATATTTATAAAAACATATGAAGTTAGAAATGGTCACCTTTTGCTAGAATAGCATGTAAATGATATTACAATATATTCAGAGATATATTAGTATGAATAACAATGTGTTTATTCGTCCTCAGTGTTATGCATGTTAATGATGTTTAATTTTTTTAGGACTCCTTACCCAGAATGCAGAGCGGTTTTCGAGCAAACTTCAGCCGCCCCCTCCATCCTTTGTACCGACAGCAGCATCCTGCGGCCCAGACCCTCAGACCGAACTCTGCTCCGAAGATGAAGATAGCAAACGTTTCCTGAAGGAAGAAAAATATAAAACATATCAATTAAATGGTCGTTGTTTGTTAAGAAGAAAAACACAGGGTCGCTCTATTTTTATACATTTCTTTACATCTTTAAAGGTCCCCTATTATACTGTTTTTCATCAATATATCACAGGTCTCAGATATATACAGAGCCTGTCTCTGATTGGCTGAAACACCAAACAGATCATTGCAACATTACCCATAATCCCCTCTGTTTCAGCCCTGTTTCCAAAGTGCTGATTCTCTGTCTGTTAAATTAGATGAAAATAAGGAGCCCCTCCCCACGCCCCTCTGAGAGAGATTTGGTTACAAAGAACTCAATGGTGCTCTAGGAGGAGATCCAGGTGATAAGGTGGGGGGGGGGGGGGTTACATTGGTTGCTGATTGGCTAATGGTTACACAAGACAAAATATCATTATGACATCATAAAGTGGCCGAAATCTGATCAGCTCATTTTCAGACAGGTTTTTATAGAAATGGATCAAAAAGAGAGAGAATCTTTGTTCCTGAAACTTTCAGAGTCTCTTTCCACAGAGGGGACACATGTTGATGAAGAAGAGACATGAAGAAGAGGGGACACATGTTGATGAAGAAGAGACATGAAGAAGAGGGGACACATGTTGATGTAGAAGAGACATGAAGAAGAGGGGACACATGTTGATGTAGAAGAGACATGAAGAAGAGGGGACACATGTTGATGTAGAAGAGACATGAAGAAGAGGGGACACATGTTGATGTAGAAGAGACATGAAGAAGAGGGGACACATGTTGATGTAGAAGAGACATGAAGAAGAGGGGACACATGTTGATGTAGAAGAGACATGAAGAAGAGGGGACACATGTTGATGTAGAAGAGACATGAAGAAGAGGGGACACATGTTGATGTAGAAGAGACGTGAAGAAGAGGGGACACATGTTGATGTAGAAGAGACATGAAGAAGAGGGGACACATGTTGATGTAGAAGAGACATGAAGAAGAGGGGACACATGTTGATGTAGAAGAGACATGAAGAAGAGGGGACACATGTTGAGGTAGAAGAGACATGAAGAAGAGGGGACACATGTTGAGGTAGAAGAGACATGAAGAAGAGGGGACACATGTTGATGTAGAAGAGACATGAAGAAGAGGGGACACATGTTGATGTAGAAGAGACATGAAGAAGAGGGGACACATGTTGACGTAGAAGAGACATGAAGAAGAGGGGACACATGTTGATGTAGAAGAGACATGAGAAGAGGGACACATGTTAGGGACACATGTTGATGTAGAAGAGACATGAAGAAGAGGGGACACATGTTGATGTAGAAGAGACATGAAGAAGAGGGGACACATGTTGAGGTAGAAGAGACATGAAGAAGAGGGGACACATGTTGACGTAGAAGAGACATGAAGAAGAGGGGACACATGTTGATGTAGAAGAGACATGAAGAAGAGGGGACACATGTTGATGTAGAAGAGACATGAAGAAGAGGGGACACATGTTGACGTAGAAGAGACATGAAGAAGAGGGGACACATGTTGATGTAGAAGAGACATGAAGAAGAGGGGACACATGTTGATGTAGAAGAGACATGAAGAAGAGGGGACACATGTTGATGTAGAAGAGACATGAAGAAGAGGGGACACATGTTGATGTAGAAGAGACATGAAGAAGAGGGGACACATGTTGACGTAGAAGAGACATGAAGAAGAGGGGACACATGTTGATGTAGAAGAGACATGAAGAAGAGGGGACACATGTTGATGTAGAAGAGACATGAAGAAGAGGGGACACATGTTGATGTAGAAGAGACATGAAGAAGAGGGGACACATGTTGATGTAGAAGAGACATGAAGAAGAGGATTTTGCATAATAGGTGACCTTTAAAGTTTGTTTTTATTTGTTTATCTGTCAAAAAGTAGTTTATTATTGTTGTTGTTGTTAATTTTCCTCTCACCACTATAACTAGCATGTGCGCAGAAACCTTCTCGTGCTCCTTGAAGGTCGTCAGGATGGCCAGAATCAAACATCCCAGAACTATCAGAAACCTGCAGACAGACGGACGGACGGACGCACACACACACACACACACACACACACACACACACACACACACACACACACACACACACACACACACACACACACACACACACAGTAAATACAGGAGTGTTATAGATACATGAAAACAGTTCATGTACAATAAAGCAGTTTCTGGTGTGACCACTAGGGGGAGCTACATCTCTACTGTTCTCTTTCAACACCAACAGACACAGCTTTCCCTCTCTTCTGGGAAAATCTACTTTTGGAAGGTTTTAAATAAATTACACATTTAGAAATTCACACTGCATGTCAAACACATATTTAGATCTTTGATACTACATTGTTTTATTAATAAAAAGTTCAAAATCAGAGCACAGTCTTTGAAACCAACAGAAGTTCTCTATTTCCTCTTGACACAGTTACGTTTTTGCAATTTCATTATGTTTTATGACATTTTAGTTCACTTTACTCTCTGTGTTTTTATGGGTAAGGTTTGTTAATGTGTGCATACTTTTTAATTTAATCAACACTTTGAACTCAGGACTTTTTCTTGTACTTGAGTTTTTCAAGAACAGTTTTTCTTCTCTTATAATGAAGTACTTGCCCTTTCTCATCTCTACCTCTGTTTCTGAATCATTTATGTTCTGTTGTGTTTCCATTAGCGTGTGTTCACAAACATCTCAGAGAAGTTCGTGAAGTGCTGCAACAACCGTAACAGCATGAATATTTTACAGCCAAATCTCCGCCTGCAGGGTTTTACATAATTCACAGAGAGGAAGTGATAGCAGCGAGCAGACGTCTCCTCATTGACCGTTAACGTCACTTAACCCTTACGTCTCGTAGTGTTTCTGCTCAAAGCTATCCAGAGGACAGAGATGATCCTGGAGGTCGGTGTTAACTCGATAGGATGCTACAGATACTGATCTGCAACACTTCCTATTCAGCTTCAAATAGTTCACACAGAGACAAGTCGATGTTTGTTACACATCAACAAGAGCAGAAATCAAAGGGCGCAACAGTATCAGTAACAACAAACTGTAAAAATGAGAGTTAAAAACAACTAGAAGGGACATTCTCACAACTTATTTTGATCAACATATCATTCCTAGGTTCTATAAATCAATACATATCCAGTATACTAAAACACAGAGCAGGTCTGGTAAACATCTTACTTATTTTTACATTTAAATATCATTGGAGCACTTCCTGCTTCCTGTCTGCATGCACACAGATAGCAAAATGTAGTACACATATTCATATCCACACTTTAAATATTGTGTTACGTGTAAAAGTCCTGCATGCATGGAGAATATAGAAGACAAAAGTACAAGAGTATTACGAGCGAATTGTTATTAAAGAAGCTCAAGTAGAGGTTCTCCATATGCAGAATGACCAACCCAGTCTCACGGCATTTCGTGTTATAGTCACGAAATTAATCTATTGATTCGTGTTCACCAACACCATTTCGCCATTTGTTTCGTGTCACACAGAACGATTTTAGAAGCAATGTAAATAATAACAAATTAGAAGGAAAAAGACATTTAAAAAAATACAGATTTAAGTATTCTGACACAGAACGATTTTAGAAGCAATGTATTTATATTGGTAGTATGTTTCGTGCCTGCACCAAATAATAACAAATTAGAAGGAAAAAGAGATGACATCAAATACAGATGTCAGTATTCTGAGGCTCTGAGCCATTTCTTTTCCTCACTGACGGCAAAAAAACTCAGACATTATACAATTTAAAATAAAAGGGATAGGGTTAGGCTTAGGGTAAGATATTGAGTAAGAACATGTTTTTATGAACCACACAGCTTCTGGTCTTCCAAGACCCGACCGGACAAAAAGACGTGTTGCAGGCACGAAACATACTACCAATAGAAATACATTGCATTTAAAATCGTTCTGTGTGACACGAAAAAAAGGTGAAAATCGTGTTGGTGAACACGAATCAATAGATAAAATTAATTTCGTGACTAATAACACGAAATGCCGTGAGACTGGGTTGGAATGACCCCATGTTAGTGTTTAAATAGGAACACTTCAAAGTCCTGAAATATATTATGCAATCAAGAGAGAGGTGTGCTTAAGTACAGTAATTGAGAACATGTCACAGTAGAGGCACAAAGTACAAATATGAACCTGAAAACTAGCGTAATATATCCTCTTTTAACGTCTGCTAACTAAAGCGAATAATATTGGCCACCATAAGCTATTGGTCAAACCCAACCACACGAGGCTGTAGCAGCAACACAACTGAGTGTGTTAGACTTGGAAAGGTGTTTTGGTATTATTAATATATTAACATTAAAAAAAGAAAGACTGCTGTTTTGATATTTGTGTTGCCGCGTTATTCCGTCTCTTAGCAAGCTAACATTAGCCACCAAAAGCTATTGGTCCAACCCAACCACATGAGGGGTAAGAAGCATGTCAGGAATCCTTAAAAAGCTATTAAGTGCTGTGCTTTTATGAAGGAACATGTGCATTTGTTTAGAGACTATGTGCAGCAGCGGATTAATCCACATTTTGGTATTTTAGGGAACATTTCCCAGCAACAATATCCTGTTTTGTGCTACATGTTCGAAAGAGAAAGTCCAGACAGTTCCAGACATTCAAAAAACGAGTTCATATGAGAAAAATGTCTGGAGAAATTCAGATGGTGTAACGCTGTTGATTCCTACTCTTGAAACACTTCATTACTTGCTGTCGGCAGAATAAACGAAGCATTGAATCCAATCTGTGCTTTGATTGGAAATCTAGAGTTTCTGAGAGAGAGGCGGCCACGCCTGCAGACACATTTGATTTCCGTCCATTTTCTCCATGTGAAGGTGAACAGTGAACGGCTGCTTCTGTCTCAGGTGGAATTGGTTAAAGTAATGCAGCTTTTTACCAGAGTGGAGATTTATAGTCCAGAGACACTCAGTGGGGAAAGGGTCTGGTGGGTTATAGATCATGTTTGGTCATTTCCACTGATAAAAAGCTCTGATGGAAACAAACTGAAGAGGAGTTTACCCACAAATGTGCTACACATGCTACACCAACAATTTCCCATTCTTTGCAGTGTTTAGTGTCAACAATGCAAACAGGCAGAACGTATGGATTATCCATAACGGTGTATATCAGTATGTAGTGTCTCTACTTTAAAGAGTCCTCTCCTGCTGATGTTCAGGTGTATATCAGTATGTAGTGTCTCTACTTTAAAGAGTCCTCTCCTGCTGATGTTCAGGTGTATATCAGTATGTAGTGTCTCTACTTTAAAGAGTCCTCTCCTGCTGATATTCAGGTGTATATCAGTATGTAGTGTCTCTACTTTAAAGAGTCCTCTCCTGCTGATGTTCAGGTGTATATCAGTATGTAGTGTCTCTACTTTAAAGAGTCCTCTCCTGCTGATGTTCAGGTGTATATCAGTATGTAGTGTCTCTACTTTAAAGAGTCCTCTCCTGCTGATGTTCAGGTGTATATCAGTATGTAGTGTCTCTACTTTAAAGAGTCCTCTCCTGCTGATGTTCAGGTGTATATCAGTATGTAGTGTCTCTACTTTAAAGAGTCCTCTCCTGCTGATGTTCAGGTGTATATCAGTATGTAGTGTCTCTACTTTAAAGAGTCCTCTCCTGCTGATGTTCAGGTGTATATCAGTGTGTAGTGTCTCTACTTTAAAGAGTCCTCTCCTGCTGATGTTCAGGTGTATATCAGTATGTAGTGTCTCTACTTTAAAGAGTCCTCTCCTGCTGATGTTCAGGTGTATATCAGTATGTAGTGTCTCTACTTTAAAGAGTCCTCTCCTGCTGATGTTCAGGTGTATATCAGTATGTAGTGTCTCTACTTTAAAGAGTCCTCTCCTGCTGATGTTCAGGTGTATATCAGTATGTAGTGTCTCTACATGTCTCCATGCTTTAATGTTCAAAAAGCTCTTTATTTTTCTCATACTGCCTGTGCTGCAGCACCTCTTTTCACCCTCTGTCTGAAACCAGAGCCCAGTCTGCTCTGATTGGTTAGCTGGCCTGCTCTGTTGTGATTGGCCAATCACTAAGAAATGTCCCGCCCCTTAGCTCCAACACGATGCATGACAATTATTTGTATCAGTTATTAAAGGTCGTGTATGTTTATAAAGATGGGATCAGCCTCTCTCTCGTCATTAATCCACTTCACATCCCCGCTGGGCTTCCTGCAGCTGATCCTCCCCCCCGGAGGATTCCTAACAACCAATTTGCAGGCGGGATTCAATAAAGAGAGTGCAGACGATGCAATTCTGACAGTTAATTTGCTCTGCGTTATGCAAACAGTGGTGGGAAAGGACAGCGGTTTAATGACTCTCCGTCACAAGGACGAGATGAGAGACACTGATCTGCATCGAGATTCTCTGCAGAGAAGTTTTTACAACACAACGACGGGAGGGATGGCAAAAGTACACACATCCTTGACTCAAGTAGAAGTACAGATACTCGTGTTTAAAAATACTCTGGTAAAAGTAGAAGTACTGACTAAACTTCTTTACTCAAGTAAAAGTAAAGAGGGCTTTGAAATGTACTTCAGTAAAAAGTACCCATAACTAGCAGCTGTTTTAAAGAGTACCTGACCTCCCTTTATATTAATAGAACAATAATGTCATTGTTAGCTAATGAATGTTTCCATGCTGAACAACGGCAACATGACAACGTTTTCATTGGTCCCTCTTCTTTAGAGAAGACCAGGAAATGATGGATACACGGATCGTGTTCAAATCAATAGGCACGCAATGACTCTAAATAATAATGATCACGCCACCAAACACACATTCAAACTAAAGGAACCAGCCTGTTTGGGAAATGTGAGAAGTAGAAAGTACAGGTATTTGTGTTCAACATGTAAGAAGTAGAAAGTACAGGTATTTGAGTTCAACATGTAAGAAGTAGAAAGTACAGGTATTTGTGTTCAACATGTAAGAAGTAGAAAGTACAGGTATTTGGGTTCAACATGTAAGAAGTAGAAAGTACAGGTATTTGTGTTCAACATGTAAGAAGTA